GCTTCCGGAGAAGGCTCGGGAGAGCTGAGGCGGGATAAGGACCGAAGGACCTACAACCCATCTGGGAACGGAAGGGGCCACTGGCTTCCAGACTCCTCCCGCCGGCCGACTGGCCACCTTCAGGTTAGTTTAGGGGCGTGTGTGTGGGGAGTTAGTGGTGCGGGGAGGGCCGCGGGGGCGGGGCGGACGCGCGTGACGCGACAGCGTAGGCCAATGGGGCGCGCGCTTGGGGCCGAGCCTCCTGCGAGCCTTCCCGGCGCCCGCGCGCGTCACGTGACCGGCCCGGGAGTGAGCGCCGGGTGAGCGCGCGGGCGGGCTAGAGCTGGGGTCGCAGCGATCCGCGGGCCAGCGGGCGAGCAAGCAAGCTGAGGATTCGCGGCACCGCCCGCTGCCGCCTCCGGATCAGGAGGCCGAGCCACCGCGCCCACCTAGTCCAGCCCGGTCGGGGCTGCAGGACCGCCGGGGACCTGGCCGCCGGTCGGGCGTACGAGAAGTTCAGGTGGGAGAACGCGCGACGGGCCAGGCGGTAGTGTTGACGCGGCCTCGGGTGCTCAGGAGTCAGGCCTGGATGCGAGGGGGACTCTGGCGGGCCTCTAGACGCATGGCCGGGTACCCTCGCCGCTGTCCGATCACTGCACGAGTGCCAGAGGCCAAGTCCGAGGAGCCGCTGGAGTCCCCAAGGATCGGACGCAGGGGGTCGGATAAGTTGTTGGAAGGATACTCCCCTCCACCCCCCCACCCCCAAACACTCGTACACTGGCACTTTACCCGTACAGGTTCGGGCCCCAGCCTCCGTGCCCGACCTCGCTTCGTGTGTCTGTGTGCTGCTTGCGGGCCGGCCCTCCCATATGGCGGGCACCGGGGCCGGGCCTGGCCGAGGGCGGGGGAGGGGGAGCGGACGCGTACGGACCCGTGGCGGAGCGGGTTACTGCTGGTCATCGCGACAGTGGACTATGGGGGGCGGGGGCGCGGGCCGAGGGCATGGTGCCCAGTGGGCAGAGCTTTAGGGTTCCTAGCAGAGCGTCCGAATGGGCTTCCAGCGCCTTCCTTTCCCAAGCTCGTCTTCACTCAACGCACCCACACCGTCATGCTGGCTCCAAGCGCTACTCGGATACCCTTCCATACGATTCACAAGGACCACCGCACATCACGCCACGCAGAGACACAGTCACACCGACAGAAATTCACACCCTTTTGCGCACACAGCACTCGGACACACCCGCACACCCACAACAGAATCCTCCGCCCCCTTAGATCCGACTTTTAGTAAAGGGATGGCACCATCTGGGGGAGAAGAGAGACTACCCATTCTTATGCCCCATGGCTATCGGAATTCCCTCTCCCCTTCCTACTATAGTGTTTTTCAGTAGACATCCCCCGCCCCCCTCGAGGGTACAGAGGAGGTGTTTTCTTATTCGGTCTCCGGGAGGTGACAAAACCCCTAAATGCTCGAGTCTCTTCATTCGGTCCGCAGGTAGCCCACTCCACCCCACAGGTGCGAGGACTCTGGGACTTGGTGACTTTGGGGCCTGAGAGCGGCTTGGCGAGCGGAGACTCTTATTTTGAAAGCGGCCCGCCTGCGCGCCCCCCCCCCTCCCGTGATTTGCACGCTGACCCAATGGCCAGCCCTTCGCCAGCTCTCGGCTTGTTATCAATTACATGTTGTTCCTGCAGCCGCTGTGTCCCCGGGAGGATAAACAGCAGGCCTGGCCCGGCCGGGGGAGGGGGCGGAGTCCGGCTGCGGGCCGGGGACGGTGCCCGGAACAGCGCGTCCCCTCCCCCTGCACGCAGCTTTTGCCTCTGGCTGCGCCACGTGCTGCTGTTTTTTTAGGGCCGGGAGCCGGCTCCCAGCCCTGGAGAGCCCTCGCTTTTCAGCCCGCACTCCTGGGCAGTTCTCAGGAACCTCTTCTTGGCTCTTAGAGCTTCAGCTTTCCGCCTTTGAGACTGACTAGACTGTGCTTCTCTCCCTTCCCTCTACCTGCCCCCTCCCCCACAGCAAATATATGCCAGGCACTGCTTTAGACTCGAGACAGCTCATATCTTCATGGGGGACAAGGTGGGGGTAAACAGGACAGGAAACAAAGTACGCAAACACATAACCAAGATAGTTCACCACAGTGCCAACAGCTAGGAAGAATATAATATGGGGTGATGTAACAGGGTAGTCAGAGTGAGTGACTTCTGAGCCAAGACCTAAATAAGGAACCCTAATGTAGAGGTGTGGCGCTGTGGGATAAGCATTGGACTGCTAACCACAAGGTTGGCAGTTCAAATTCACCAACCGCAACTCAGAAACCTTAGACAGGGTCACTAGGAGTTGGAACCAATTTAACACCTCAGAGCAGGGTGATCTCTGCTGAGAGAACAGCTGGACTGTGGCCTGAGGCTGGCTGGATCCTGTGAAGTTGGTATACAGTGAGAGAAGGTCTGTGGAGAGGTGGAAGCCTCCCTCCGAGGTGCTGGGAGGGACTTGGGGAGACAATGAAGGTCATTTCCTCCCACTCCCACTGCAGTTCTTTTCTTTTTTAAGTTTTTATTGTGACGTTTACATAGGAGAACATCAGCTTTACATTCATCCTATCTTATATCGTTTCATACCTGCATTTCTTTTTATACCATTTCATCTGTAAATATCTCTGTAGCTGTGAAAGGTAAGACTTACCTTCAGAATACCATCATCACATTGAGAAGTATTAGCAGTAAGGCCTGGATAATCACTGACTGCCATGTAATGATGATCACAGAGCAGGGAAGGGTTACAAGCAGGGAGGAGAATAGTCCTACTAACCCTTGACACCATTCATTGCCTATTCCTGGATTCCAGGGAGCTAGAGCTCCCCTGATTCCTTCATTTCACAGTTGTTGTTAAGTGTCATCAAGTTGGTGCTGACCCACAGCAACCCTGTATAGGCTTTCTGAGGAGCAGCTGGTGAGCTTGAACTGCCGACCTTGCAGTTCAAATAGCTTTGCAGTCTGGTGCATTAACCCACAGTGCCACACCAGGACTAGGACCACAAAGACCAGGTGTCCCGTATTGAAGGCTAATCGGAGAGGTCATAGTGGTTGGTATTGACTGAACTTGCTCTTGAGATCTGCCTAGCATGTTTATCTTGTCGGACTCTCACAGCATCTGGGGCCAGGCACTGTCTTCAGTGTCCTGTTTAACAGACCAAGATGCAGGCACAGAGAGGACATGTGTGTACCTTGAGGGGCCAGGGGTCGGCGGCAGGGGCTTTATGCCTCACTGTCCCGTCACATTACCTGGTACTTTCAGTCCTTTCCAGCTTCTCGTTTGGTGCAGAGTGGCTATTTTAATACTTAGCTGATTATTTGGACACAAAAAACAAAATGTTGTGGAAAAACTGCCTTCCCTTCCCTAGGCAGACATAGCAAGGGCTTCTTCTTTGCCTTCATTTCCCAGAGCTCCTTGAGACTTCTTGGAGGAGTTGGGAACTGAGACCAGAGGTCTTGGAGTCCCAAAGCAGGAGAGGGGTGTAGACATCATTGAGGCATGGTGCAGATAAGAAGACTGAGACTTTGAGGGGTGCAAAGACTTCCCCAAGGTCATAGCTGCTGATTGGATCCTACCCAATGCCAAGCCTGCTGACAGGTGGGCATTGCTGAGTGCCAGGTCTTGAGTGGTCCTGAGACAGATAATGGGGCTGCTGCAGCGGATGTCAAGTAACAGAGAGTCTCTCTTCTCGATGCAGAACATCCTCATTTCCCAACTGTGATAAACAGCAGCCATGGTTCTAGGTGGGGACAAAGGTCCACAGAGGTGGCCCTGTCAGGGCTGGACACTGTTGACTCTCCTGGGACATGGGACCTAGTGCAGCCTTCAGCTCGCAGAGCATTAAACGTTCCACTTTGCTCACTCTCAGCCCTACTGGTACCATGTGGGAGCGGAGCTTTAGTGTATCCACAGGCCAGCCTGGCCTCGTGGTGCACACAGTCTAGGGGGAGTCGGACACTGGCGAGCCTTCTGAGGCGGTGAGTGATCCCAGTTTGGGACAACAGTGGCCATGGGTTGCACAGTTGTTGTGAAGTCATAAGATGTAGTGTGTGTGAGACTGGAAGTTCATGGCTGTGTGGGATGGCGCCAGTGAAGCATCAAAGTGCAGAGCAGGCTGCAGGTTGAGAGCATCTTATTCAATCCCTTTCCTCTCCTGTTTCATCGAGGAGGCAGCTGAGGCTCGAAAGGGCCTGAGAACCGGGACTGGGAAGCTTCTGAGGGCCTCAGGTGGAGCCCGAGAAGGCAGGTGCTGTTGGTTGTGTGTTTTTCCCCTTCCTCCAAACTGTCGTTACCAGATTAAAATACAGGCTGCTCAGTTAAATTTTAGATAAAATTTAGATAAAATAATTTTAATAGAAGTGTGCCCCATTCACTATATGAAGTAAATTTAAAATAATTTGTCTCTGAAATTCAAATGTAATTAGACAGCTTGTATTTTTATTTGCTCAATATGACTGCTTTTCCCAAGCACCAATAGTCCTGTGCTGCTGGGGTCAAGGGGCAGATGGCTATTTTCCTAACTCCTTAGTGACTCAACAGGAATGATAGAAGTTAGGCATCCTCTAACCCCCTCAAATGATTCTCTGTTGCTCCAAGGTCCACAGAACCCTAACATACTCACTTTCTCTCTCACACACTCAAATTCTGACATTCACAGATACATGTACTGTTCTTTTCCATGATCATTCTGGAAAATCTGTTTAAAACCAAAAGCGCCCTGGGTTGTGCAATGGGCTTGGAGTGGACTCTTTTGCAAACAGGTGGTGCAATTTTGGAAAATGCTCTTGCAGACACAGCCCTCCCATGGGACAGACAGCAGGATCCAGGCATTTGGCAATGGGCATCTGTGGACTGGCTCACTGGAGCCAACCCAGGCAGCCAAGGGTGGGGTTCACAGACTGTGTGGTCGCAGGTAAGTTCGTCTTCCTCCTGACTCAGCCTCCCTTGTTTCCTCTCTGCAGCCACCACCCGGCACGGCCAGGCCAGCATGGTGGACCACTTGCTTCCGGTGGACGAGACCTTCTCGTCGCCAAAATGCCCAGCTGGTTATCTGGGTGACCGGCTGGCTGGCCAGCGGGCGTACCACATGTTGCCCTCGCCACTCTCTGAAGATGACAGTGACTCCTCCAGCTTTTGTTCCTGTGCCAGCCCCGACTCACGAGCCCTCTGTTCCTGCTACAGCGGCAATGCAGGCATCAAGGGCCAGGATGGCATCTTGGACTTCTTGCTGTCCCGGGCCACACTGGGTGGTAGTGGCAGCCTAGAGGTCAGCGGTAACCCCATGACCTGGGGTTCTTGGCGGAGGGCACCGGCACCTGTGAAGGGGGAGCATTTCTGCTTCTCTGAGTTTGCCGTGGGGGACCCTGATGACGTCCCTAGACCCTTCCAGCCTACCCTGGAGGAGATCGAAGAGTTCCTGGAAGAGAACATGGAGCCAGAGGTCAAGGAAGTGCCAGAGGGCAGCAGCAAGGACTTGGAGGCTTGTGACCAGCTCTCACCTGGGCCACCTAGAAGCCACCATCCTGCGTCTGGTGGGAAGGAGAGCTGTACTCCCCTGCTGGGTGACCCTAGCACCAGCAACACCCACAGCCCAACGGGGGGACCAGTGTCTGAGGGCCCTGTCCCAGTGCTACTTCAGATCCAGCCAGTGCCCGTGAAGCAGGAGGCAGGCACGGGGCCAGCCTCCCCTGGGCAGCCCTCAGAGAGTGTCAAGGTGGCCCAGCTCCTGGTCAATATCCAGGGGCAGACCTTCGCGCTTGTGCCACAGGTGGTGCCCTCCTCCAACTTGAACCTGCCCTCCAAGTTTGTACGCATTGCCCCTGTGCCAATTGCTGCCAAGCCCATTGGGTCAGGATCCCTAGGGCCGGGCCCTGCTGGCCTCCTCGTGGGCCAGAAGTTCCCCAAGAACCCTTCGGCAGAACTCATCAAGATGCACAAATGCACTTTCCCCGGCTGCAGCAAGATGTACACCAAAAGCAGTCACCTCAAGGCCCACCTGCGCCGGCACACGGGTGAGAAGCCCTTCGCCTGCACCTGGCCAGGCTGTGGCTGGAGGTCAGTATGGCAGAGCTGGGGTGGGAGTGAGGTCCAACTCAGATCTGGTCACCAGGGTTTCTGTTGGTACCGTGTCCTCCAGTGTTAGATAAGGGGCTAATCAGGGAATATAGAGGGGAGGGGACAGGTGGACATGACCAGAGCTTGGCCCACCTTCCCAAAGGTTCTTTTGTCCCAACTGGTTTCCAGTTTCCTAATGATCAGGTAAGACTTGGTGTGGTGTGTGATGCCTGCTGGCCCCTGAAGCCAAGAAATGGGGCTGATTGGATGAGGGTGAGGACTGGGAGACTAGGGCTACTGCAGAGGAGCCATTACCAGTAAGTAGGCTGTGCACCAGACAGGGATCAGTGCTGTGTGCCTCCTCTGTTCCCCACAATACCCCACAAGGGTAATTGCCACTTGACTCCCATTTGACAGCTGAGGAGAGTGAAGCTCAGCCTGGCAAAATCACTTGAGATTTGAACCCAGGGCCTTGGATTAGAGAGGCTGTGGCCTGGACATACTACCTCTCCAGCCGGAGGAACCAGATCCACTGCCTTGATGTTTCTGGGTACGGGTGGTCTAGGTTTGAGTCCCTGCCCAATGCTCATTCCGTCCCCACCCCCCATCCCCAGGCCTTTGCAGTGTGCTTGGGAAGCTGCTCACTAAGATGAAAACGCACTGGTACTGAGTGGACCCTGACTCATGGTAACCCTATAAGCTGCAGGGACTTAGGAACAGGGAGAGTCCGGCTGGCAGTGACACTGTCTCAAAGGTGGAAGGATCCTTCCAAGGTCCTATATTCTGCACTGCTAGTTTCAGCCCTACCCAGATCCTGGGTCACATGGGCACCCTTCCCTCTTCCAGAGGACGTGTCTACCATGTCCTGGATCGCAGGTGGTCTGCCAGGAGCTCATGTGCCCAGTTGCTCCCTCAGGCGCTCCCTAGCTTGGGACGCTCACCCACAGTCATCTCTGCCCAGGAGGGCAGCATGTGCTCCTGGCACATTCCTGGGCTTCACTGCTCTTGGTGTTGTTGTGGCTGTACCATGTGTAGTTGTGTGTATGTGCTTATGTATGTACTCATATGTGCTGTCCACGTATGATCCTGTGTATGTGTTCTTCCCTGTCTGTACACACACATCCCATGCATTTGTGCACATATGCATGGTGCTGTACTAACATACCTGGGGGTGGGGTGGGGATGACTCCTGCTTTTGTTCCCTTGTCTGAGAGCCCAGGCGAGGTGGCTGGAGCAGGGGCATTGGCCACAGGAGCCCTTGCTGGCTGAGGTTGGGCAGGGACAGGGATACTGTGAGTGGAATGTCCAGCGTGACACTAGCAGTCTCTCTCGGTCTGAGCTCCGAGCTGGCCTGAGAAAGGACTTTCCCCAGTGTCCTGAGCTATATGAAGCCCTTTCTGAGTAAGGGACCATTGCTTTCAGCACCACCTGAAGGTTCTCCTTGCAGGGAGACCTGGCAGGAGCCAATGTACCCAGTGAATAACTGTGGTGGTGAGTGCCCTGTTGGACTGCTTGGGAGGGCCAGGTGAGATGGTGATGGGCAGTGGTGGGTGTTTAGGGTTGTCGGAGGTCAGGAGTCAAGCTATCTAGACAGGGCCTCTGGTCTCTCCTTGCCCTGTCCCCTCCTCCTTAAGGAGGAGGCCTTCCAGCACCACCACCTGGGAGACCTTTCAGATATCTGGCCTTACCTGCACCCCCTTACTTACTTCTGTGGGGAGTCATTGGTCTGCTTATCCAATGTGTGCTGGGTCTTGCCCAGTACCGAGCTCTTGGGGGACAGCAGTGAAGAAAACAGGCCAAGAACCTGCCTTGATGGACTTATAGCTCAGAAGGGAGACAGCTAACTGCATGCTTAATTAGATGCTCTCAGACATAGGGTGATGAGCTGGTGGGGTGGGCATGGGAAGAGTGTCTGGGGAAGACCTGTCTGAGAGGTAGCATTGCGAGTTCACGGTCTAAGCAAGAAGTGGCGGGACTTTGCTTCCTACTCCTAAGTGTAACCTGGTGTACTGGACCACAAGGTTGGCAGTTGAAACCTCACCAACCACTCCTCGGAAACCCCATACAGGGTTGCTATAAGTCAGAACCGACTCAATGGCACTTAACAGCAAGAAATGTATTCTGGAGTCCTGGTGTGGCACTGTAGGATAAGCACTGGACTGCTTACCACAGGGTTGGCAGTTCAGAGTTACAGCTGCTCCTCAGAAACAGTATGCATGGTCACTTTGACTCAAAGACACTTAGTAAGTGTTTTGGGTTGTGGGTTCACTGGCTCAGAGCATCTTGATACTTTGACACTAGGAGCCACTAGGGGTTGTTGGGCCCACTAGTGTCAGTGGTTAGAAGCAGTGTGTCCTTGGGGTGGTCTCATACCCCCTCCCCCTGGCTCCTAGCAGAGCCTCAGTTTCCTCTGTAAAACCGAGAACCTGCCTGCCACCCTCAGATTGGAAATCCACCTACCCAGTCCACAGCTTGGTTGCATGCAGGGGCACCGCTTTCCCACAGCTCATACAAAGTTAGCATCTGGGAGAGGATCTAGAGGGATTTCTGCTGGGCCTCATGTGAGTGAGGTCCTCACTTTAGGAGGCACGAGCTCTCTAGACTACAGGGAGCTTGAATATGGCCTCCTCTTTTAGTGGGGCAGGGTAGGGTTGAGGGAAAGGTCTAGGCACTTGGCTCAGCAGCTTCCCTCCAGAGCATCTACCCCAGACTGCCCTATGCCAGGGTTTGCCTGCAAGCCACTGGCTCCTTGACATTGTGACCATTGGCTAGTGGTCCCTGCAGTCAGGGTGAGGCTGGAAGCAGCTCCTGGTCACAGGGAAGAAGGTTGTGGCCTTTGACCCAGGCTGCCTATCCTTCTCAGCCTTGCTATCCAGGCTCTGCCTTCCAGGGAGAAGGAGGGTTTGCTTTCTTCTGGGCTATTCCAGAGCCAGAGAGAAGACAGAATCCTCAGCACTAAACCAGGGGCCTCCGGAGGTAACAAATCCCCTGTGGCAGCGGCAATGTGTGGAGCGTGTTTTAGATCCCACCCTTCCAAGCCCCTGTGATGATCTTCTTGCTCAAGACCCACTGGGCAGGGAGGTGTATGGGAATACCAGGCCTGTAAGGTCCTTGCAGAGACACCCCAGGGAGCTGCCTCTGCCACTGCCCTCAAAAGACTCCTGCAGGGCATTGCCAGCTTCTCCTAAGGTCTTTTGGGAGCTGAGCTAGCCTGGTGGGTCACACCAGAATTCATGTCTCTTGAGGAAAACTGGCCTCCTTGGTTGACTTTCATCCCTGAATCCTTGGAAGTCCTTATACGTGGCCATAGCCTTGAGCAGATAGTCAGTGGATGAAGGGGTGTTTGAGCAGGAATTGGGTAGAAGGACAGGAGAAACAGTGCTGCTGATGATAAGAGATCATACTTCTTGACAACTTACTGGTCTTGGTGTGGCACAGTAGGATAAGCACTGAACTTCTAATCAGAAGGTTGGTGGTTCAAGCCCACCAGCTTCTCCTTGGAAATCCTATACAGGGTTGCTATGAGTCGGAACCAACTCCACAGCACTTAATGAAAGTAAGGCACTATTCTCAGTTCCTCAGATCTGAACCCATTCCAGTCATCTCCACCCTTGCTTGCATACCTCCTGCCATGGACAACTCATTACCTCCTGAGGCCACTCTCAACAAAGAACCCTTAAACTCATACAAAACTTGTCATTTGACCCCAAAGATCCTGCCTCTAACCATTCCTGACAGGACGCAGCCCTGCCAGCCTTGACCTTGGCCTCTGCCCCCATGCTCATGCTCTGCCTGGCTTGCTCGGCCCAATAGTAATGCCACTGCCACTGCTCTTGTGATAGCCCTGACCTTTTCCTGTACATGCCACATGCATTGACTCACCACATTCTCCCAGCAACCTCATGCAGTGTGGTCATCTGTCTGCTTTATAAGGGGAAACCAAGGTGCAGAAGTATTGCGTCTCTTGCTACAGGAACATGGTTCTGAGGCCAGATGCAGGCATTGGGATGCCCAGCGCTGCTCACCCTCATCCTCCTCACTACTACAGACCTCCCCTCCTTGGCACCCCAGGGGCTGTGGTGTCGTGTTGGCTGGCTCTGTCTTCTCTTCCCCACAAGATGTCTGGGTTGTGTTAATGGGCTATTGGAAAGGAATGCTAGCAATGGTTCCTCACATGAGCTCAGTACTGCTTGGAACACCGACGAACGTTGTTAGGGGCCGTTGAGTCAATTGTGACTCAGTGACCCTATATATAACAAAATGAAACACTGCCTGGTCCTGCGCCACCCTTAAACAATTGTTGGGACGTTTGAGTCCATTGTTGCTGCCACTGTGTCCGTCCATCTTTTTCACTGACCCTCCATTTTAGCAAGTATCTTGTCCTTCTCCAGGGACTGATCCTTTCTGACAATATATCCGAAGTATAAGAGACCAAGTCTCACCATCCTTAATTCTAAGGAGCATTCTGGCTGTACCTTTTCTAAAACAGATTTGCTTGTTCTTCGGGTCATCCCTGGTACTTTCAATATTCTTTGCCAACACCATAATCCAAATGCATCAACTCTTCTACAGTCTTCCTTATTCATTGTCCAACATGGACTCATCTAATTCTCAAAATAAGTCTAGCAGGTAGGCAGCAGTGTTGTTATCCCCATTTTACAGAGGAGAAAGTCAAGTTAGCGAGGTCAGGAGTTCTCTCCTAAACTCAGAGCCCTCTCTCCAGCCTCCTCTCCTGCCTCCAGTAGAGGTGCCTCATTTTGGTGTAGCTCTGGGAAGACCTGGATCTCACCTTGCAGCTGGGATTGGATCTCAGAGCAGCACCCTAGCCTGTTCTGCCCTGTGGGAGGAACTCACTACCTTTCCAGGGTTATCTTCCTGGGTAGCCCCAGTGGGTGGCTTGCCTAGTTCTGGTGCTGTGCTCTAGGTTCGCAGAATGAGCTATTCCAACTCTTCTCACCTTCTGCACCTTTGTGTGGTACACACTCTCCCTTCTTCCCTGTGTGGTCATCACTTGCCCAGGTCATCAGACCCCACTTCCTCCCAGGCACAGTATTCCCTGTCCTTTCCTCTCCTGTGATGTGACTCTGGCATCCTTGATAGGCAGATAGCAGACGTGCTCAGTGCGATCTCACCATCCGGAAGTGGCTGCATGCCTGCCTTCCTAGAAGTCCCCTCTCTTCCCTCTTAAACATAGGCCTTCTTTGTTCCCAGTAGCAGAACGTCATGTTCTGGGATAGCTAGGCCACTCTGTCCAAAAAGAATCCCCTATGATCAGAGTGAGTATTAATGTCGGTAACGGTCAGCAGTTCTGCGTGGTAGGTACTGTTGTGTTGACAGAGGAAGCTAAGCAAAAGGAATGTAGGCCTGAGCCCACAGAGCAGGGAGTGGCAGAAACAGAATTCAAACCCTGCCTGCTGCCTCCTGCTCCCTCTTGTGAGGAGATGAACTACCAAGTGTGGTAGGTGGGCTGGACACTGGGAGTGCTATCCACATTGCAGTCCTTAAAGCTGGAATACTTGTTATAATGGCCTTTGGGCTAATGGCAGAGTAGGGTCTCAAGGTAGGGGCACCTGCGTTTCACACAAAAGTGCTCCGGTGTCTGTCTAGTGGTGCTGGCATCTGAACTGCTTGGGTCACGTAGACTCCTGGGTGGCAACCCAGCAACGAGAGTCAAGAAATGTCTTGAGGCCCCTACCCACCAGTACCGACTCTGTGCTAACTCCTTGCAGGTAATAGGAGTTCGCAGTGAACAGTTAACTATGTGCTACGTACTTCCCTAAATCCTTTGCTCCATAGTTTTTATATGCCTCATCATCAAGGAAATATGTCTGTCATTCTTATTTCCAGCTGGGGACATTGAGTCAGAGCGCATAGTGACTAGCCCAGTTTACCTGGTTCTCGGATCAGCGTTTACTGCCTCTAGAAACCACTTTTTAACCACCTTTTACAGTTTTACCTCCATTGTAGCCCTCACAACCTCTCGGGCGATAATCAGGTGTGAGTGGGGGGTCTTCTGAGTGCTCTTTTTCTTAGGGCAGTCCCTCAGATCACAGGATGTGCCTTCATGAGAGAAAGAGACTTGAAAGTGAGGCTCACTTATCCTGGTGTCTGGCTCTTCCTCAGTTGCCTGTCCCTCTCAGGATCTCAGGAGTTGTCACTATGGCCCTGTGTCCCTGCCTTTGCCTCTGTGACAAGTCCTAGAGGGCAGTCAGGGCTCCCCGGGACATCACTGGGGTGCACATGGATACTGAAGGCCAAGGTGGTTTGATAGCTTGCTCAGGAGTATGTAGGGCTCCATGGTGGAGGTGGGAACTATAGGAGCATGGCCAGGAGTTGAACCCCGCTACTCTGCTGCCTGTGTTGTGTGATCCCAGGTCTTGTCATACAGATGGGCTGCTCTTGGCCGCTTGGCCAGGAAAGTGTAGGTGATTCCCAGGGCCTGGCGCTGGCCATTGCTTCCATTGTCTACTTGCATCCTACCCTAGGCAGCCTTCTCTACCCACTTCCAGGGCACACTGTCTCATTTCCTCAAGCACAGGAGATGGCTGCTGCAAGTCCTTTGTTCGGTGCCTCAGCTGCACTGTTACTAAGCAACTTTAGATCAGGACCTCGTCACTCTGGGCCTCAGTTTCTTCATCCTACACATGGACCAGTAGAACCGCATTTGATTTAAAAAACAAAAAAAATGCTTAGAGCACTGAATCCATGCCAAGCATTGAATAGTACTTTGGGGTGTGACTCAAACCCCTGCCTCCAAGTTCAGATACCTCAGCTACGCTCTAGAAGTAAAGTTGGGGGCCTCGGGGACAGCAGAGTGGAGTCTGAGATGTTTCTTCTCCTGAGGCCTCTGGTCTGGCCCCTCTGCCTGTGCCCACCTGAACCTTCCCCTACTGGGTTGTCCTTGCTCACATCAGGCTGAGAGTCATGGCCTCCACCCAAACAAGAGTTGGGTCAGCAGCCCTCGCCCATCAGCAGGACTGCTGTTTTGGGGGCACGACCTAACCTAACTCTTGCCTGTGGCCCTGGGTTCTAGGGATAGTGTGTGTGACTCCAGAGGGTAATCCCTATGACTGCTTGCTTTCTTTCGTGGGTGCTTGGTGGGCCCACTCACTCTTCCATTGAAACACACCCACAGCATGCACACTGTGCACTAGGCAATGCCTGGTTGGTAGAGACCTTGGAGAACCCGACCAAGTGGTTCTCCCTTGTGGAGCTGATGGTCTAGTAGGAGAGACTGATGTTCATCAAACAGTTGCACAAACGAACTTAAAATGGCACCAATGTCAAGGACAGGGAAGATAGTACATAGTACTGTGGAAACCTAGGTGGGCTTTCTTGAGGAAGGCAGGGCAGAAGTGCACTCCCAACAGGAGTGCAAATGTCCTGTGGTGAGAGGGACCTAGGAGAGGTCCATTCCGGTAGAGTATAGAAGATGAGTGTGAGTACAGAGGACAACTAGCTTGTCCCCGTGTGTGTTTGGGGACAGGGGAAGGGTCTCCCTACCAGGACCAGGATTGTGGGGTGGGAAAGGACTGAAGTCCCTGAAGTCTGGAAAGCAGAGACTTGGCCCCACATGGCTCTCAGATCCCCCATGAGCATCTGCTCCTGCCTGGCAACCTTAATCCCAGGCAGACAGATGTGGCCCAGAGAGATGTCACGGACACCGTCTAAACTGGTAGATTTACTTCCCTCCCTGGGGTGTGGTTATTTGGGGACATCTTGGGGAGCCCAACTGCCTGGAAATCAGAGTCCAAGAGTGGGATGGGGTGCTCAAATCTGAGGACTCCTTTCCCCTTAGTGGAAGCAAGAAAGGGAAAAGGAACTCCAGGTAGTCCTGGGGAAGGAGTCTTTTCATTTCCCTAAACTTCAGTTTCCTCTTCTGGATGCATTTCCCTAGATGTCAGTTATGGGAGGTGGGGGTGGCGATGAGGCAGAGGGGCCAGGTTAAGTTGTCAGTTGTTGGGGGTGGGGCTGCCCACTCTCTGGCCCTAAGATCTGGCCCTACTGTTAAACAGCTGCCCAGGCTGTGGCAGCATGAACCTTACACTTCACATTCTTACCACCTTGGAGAGTGGTAGGGCAGTGACTTCACCAGTGGGCACTGGCCCGGCTACACCTTGCAGGTGGCCGAGCTCTGCCCCTTTGACCCCGTGGGCTTTTCGTGCTGCGGGGGGGCGGGCTTCGGGGTCGGAGGCGCTGGAGCTCCCGCCGCCTAGCTGAGCGCCGTGTCCTGCAGGTTCTCGCGGTCAGACGAGCTGTCACGGCACCGGCGCTCGCACTCCGGCGTGAAGCCGTACCAGTGCCCGGTGTGTGAGAAGAAGTTCGCCCGCAGCGATCACCTCTCCAAGCACATCAAGGTGCACCGCTTCCCGCGCAGCAGCCGCGCTGGGCGCGCAGCTAACTGAATCGCCCGCCCCCAGCCCCGCGCCCGCTCGGGTGTTTTATAGCAATAATTTATTTGTCTCCTCCCGAGGGACGCGATGTTACTACCCCCATGACGAAGTCGGGAGGTGCAGGAGGACCCGGCAGCCCGACTGTGCACCCAGAGACCCTAGTGGTCGCCGTTCCGGTACTTTGGCCAGCAGGCGAACGAGCTAACAGGCATCCTGCACCCTGTCCTCAGTGAGCGCTTTGGCCTCTGCTGTCGGCGGCCTAGGCAGGGCTTCGAGGGCCTGGCGCTTCTCCCACTGGGCTCCCCGCCTGGGCCAAAGCCAGCACTTTATTGCTGGGGAAGAAGAAATGTGCAGTTTTGAAACGTTCAATTCCCAGAGGGAGCCATGCTGAGAAGAAGGAATTAGGTCAGAAGTTCGACTACACGGTGTTGTGAGGGTGGCCGTGTCTAAGGGGCCTGGCCCAGCCCGATTGCCAGAGCTGATGGGCAGTGCAGCCCAGGATGTGCAGGCGCTGATCAGTGCAACTGCTTAAGTTAAATGTGCAGGACAGACAGACACAGCCTCCATCAGAACAGGTTCGGTCTGGAGTCTGTATTAAATGGCCCACACTCTCCCAAGGTTCCCAGGCAGGTCCACATGCTAGCCTCCTGGTCACTTCCCCGAAGAGAGGGGTCAGGCTGCATTGTGTATGAAGACACTAGGTAGAGGCTCCCAATCCTGATTTAGAAATGCATTCCTTATTTGGTCTAGAAATTAATATCAAATAAATTACAAACTAGCTTGTTTGGACTGGTTTATTTCACATCCTATGAATGTATGTAAATAAACTGTACATAGATACAGATACATAAAATATCTTTTAATAACATATCAACATTTGTGTAAATTTGAAATTAAAAATCTAAAAGTGGTGTATATATATTTCAATTCTGTATATTTTCTTTGGTCCTTCATAAAAATATATTTACTTTGCCAATAAAAAGAAGAAGAAGAAGAAAAAAAGAGCTCACTAGCTTTGGTATGTGCTTTTTTCTTTTTTTTCCTGCTTTGTCAGGAAATGGAGATGGTTCTGGGAGCTGAGTCCTTGGTCCTGCGTTATGCAGTATCCCAGGATCTTGTGCACTCTAGGAGAGCTGGGATTTTATTTGCCTTGTTCTAGCCAGGCAGGTTCCCAAGCAGCCCTAGCTCTACGGGCTGCCACTCATTCTGACTGCTGGAGATTTCAGTACCTCATGGACTCACATGGGCGGTGCTCCGGCAGGTGCCTGATTGACTAGATGGAGTGCAGAGTCAGGTGAGTATCTTTAGTAGCAATTAGGAGTAGTTGAGCCCTTTGGGACTGACCTGGCGTGGGGTGGGACAACGATGGGATTGGGTTTATGGAGAAAGGATGAGAGGAAGCTCCTGACTGGAGCTGAACTTCTCTAGGAAGCAGGCATGATCTTCCCTACTGGCACAGGAGAGTGATTGCAGTAGGGATCCAACCGGCTGTATAGGGAGCTAGGCTTCTCCCCAGCTCCTCTGAGCTCTGGCAAGACAAAGCCTGCTGAACTTCCTGTAATTCTCAAAGCCTTGTCTTATTTGGAAGGAGCATAGTGGGTTATGAGTGGAGCAGTTATCCTCAAGGTCACCAGTTCGAAAATACCAGCCGCAGGAGAAAGATACAGCTTTCTGCTCCCATAAAGATTTACAGCTTCAGAAACCCTGTGCAGGGTAGCTATGAGACAGAACTGACTTCATGGCACATCACAATCTCCACCACCACCTCTGTATGGACTCACAGTTGAGGTTTGACCCTATCCACATGGTTCCTGGAAGTGGAGGCAGGTGAAAGTAGTGGAAGCCGCCAGAGACTCAGAAAAGGCAGTGTGCTTGGGTGGGAATGACCAGGAAGGAGTGAGTGAAAGCTGCCCAAGGTGGAAATAACTCAGCAACACAGCCAATGCTAGAATGTCCCCATTTACCCACCCATGTGAGTAAGATGCTAGAACCTTATAGATGTGGCCTTTCCCAAGGACCCAAGCACCCACCTACACTATGGGGTCCCCTCATTTAAATGAGCTGGATGCAAATTAGGGCAAGTGTTTCTCAGTGAGGCCTTGGCCATCTGGAGACAGATGGTAGAACACCTGTGGAATTTCAATATAGCATTTCTTAGGGACAGTGTAGTTGCTGGTGTTGATGGGTGGAGACCATTGTTCTAACTGCCTTGGGAATATACTGACAGTCACCTGTCCATCTGTTCAGTGGGCCCTGGCAGACCAAGAATTTGTTTATGTCCAGCAGAATATGGGTGAGCAGAGTGGGACATCCCATCCTGACTGGGCCTGGTCGTGGGGAAAGAACTTGGCCTTGTGCCCTTTGCCCTTGGCCCCTGACTGAACCTGGCCTTGTGCCCTCTGCCCTTGGCCCCTGACTGGATGTAACCTCCATGTCCAAACATGCTGTGGGGAAGTGAGACATTGATTTCCAGGTGTGTTGACTCAGCCTCTTTGCTTCCATTAAGAATGGAAGCCCAGATAAGAAGGGCATCTGAAGGAGGAGGGTGGAGGTTAACTTGGTTGGGCTAGTTTCCACTGGAGGAGGAATAACCCTGTGTGTATGTACCTGCATCCCAATTCCTGCCAACAGTCTTCCTGCTCTCACCCACTTGTTGCGACAGCAGTCACCCAGCAGTCTCTGGTGGGTGTGTGGGTAGAGTGATCTAACTGTTCACCCTCTGTCTGGGGGCCTTAGACTCCTCACCTGAAACTTGTAAGCATCACACTCTTGCTCATTTACTCTGTGGTGGACACCCAGCATGGTCCACACTTTCAGGGCAGCAGCGTGGAGTGAGGACAAGGGTGGAGTCCCAGCTCCACCAGTGTAGGGGGCTTTTTACATCTCTTTGGGTTTCAGCTTCTGCATCCTGCAAAAGTGAGTGTGTAAGTCCTGTAGTCACAGGACTGTATGAGTAAGCAAGTTAAACTGGAGGTAGAGATTTGAATAACCCACAAGGGGAGCCTTCCAGTTTGCCTCTCCTGCTAAGTGAAGAATGTGTGTGTGGGTTGGGTGTATGTGTGTTGGAGGTGGGGGTGGGGTGGGGTGGCAGTGGGAGGCAGGGCCTTATTTCTCTCTCTCTAGGCAAGATTAGGAGTTCTGCTGAGGAGCCTGGCTTGTTCCCTGCCTCTGGGAGATCGCCATGCCTCCAGCTTTCTTACTCTCAGGATTTCTGTGGCTGAAAGAGGAATGTTTGTCTTAAACTTTGAGTTTAGAAAGCAGATAGAGACCGGAGCCAATGTGCCCACAATTGTTTGTAGTGGAACAAATCTGTAAGGTTTCAGAGCAGAAAATCTTTCCCGGCCCTCTGCACAGTACCCATCCCCAAAGGCACGTAGAATGTGCTTTTTAGGTTAAGCACTGGGCTGCTAACCTCAACGCTGGCAGTTTAAGCCTACCAGCTGCTCCTCAGGAATTCTGTATAAGGTCGCTAAGAGTCAGAACTGACTTGATGGCACTTAACAACATTGAGAATTTGTTCCAGGTACGGTATGGATTAGGATGCTGTAACAACAAAGAATCCTCCCCAAATAGTGTGATTTAAGAAATGTAGAAATTTACATTTCTTTGTGTGCACAACCTGGGAGCGCGATGGCTCCATATGATAAGCACTGGACTACAAACCACAAGGTCCAAGGTTTGAGCCTGTCAGCTGCTCTGTAGGAGAAAGATGAGGCTTTCTGCTCCCGTGAAGATTTAAAGCATCAGAGAGCGTATACAGGGTCTCTCAGAGTCGGAACAGACTCGACGGCCCTGAACAACAACAACGTGACCAACCTAAGGTAAGCGGTCAGAGTTGATATGATTGCTCTGGTGGAGGGCACCAAGCCCTCACTTGTTGCTCTTCCATGCCTTAGGGCGTTCATCAGAATACCAGGGTAGCAGTGGAGCACACGCAGACAGTAAAACTGTGATTTCCATTAAGGACACAGCCCTTCTACCCCCATTGGTCAGAACTTCCTCACATGACCTCATCCAACTGCAAGGGAAGCTGGGAAATGTAGTTTTAATACAGGGCTCTGTGTGTATCGCTGGAATTGGAATCTTGGTGTGGATCTATAGGGTAAGCACTGGACTGCTCACCCCAAGGTTGGTAGTACAAACCCACTAGCTGCTCCACTGGATAGAGAGGAGACATTCTTCTTCCATAAAGTCTTGGAGAATTTACTCAGTGGCAATGGATTTGGTGGGTTTTATTTTTAAATTACTGTAGAAGAATCCTGGAGTCCTGGTGTGGCACTGTAGGATAAGCACTAGACTGCAAGGTCGGGTTTAACTACAAGGTCAGCGGTTCAAACTCACCAGTCGCTCGCTGGAACCCTAGCCAGGAGCCAACTCGAGGCACTTCACATAGTGAAGATGATGGTATAGTGTTTAAAGCACTTGGTTGCTCATCAAAAGGTTGATGGTTGGAACCCACCAGTCACTCCTAGGGAGAAAGATGTGGCCATCTGCTTTTGTAAATGGTTTGAAGTCTTGGAAACCCTATGGAGTAGTTCTAGCATGTCCTCACTATGCATTGGAATGGACTCCACAGTAGCAGGTTTGGTTTGGGTTTATTACTGTAGGAGGAGCCTTGATAGCTCATTGGTTAAAGTGCATGGTTGCTAGCTGAAAGGTCATCAGTTTAAACTCACCAGCAACTGTGTTTGCAGCCTTGGAAACACCATAGGCAGTCTACTCTGACCTCTAGGATTCCTATGACTTGGAATTGCTTTGACCACAATGGGTTTATAGAAAGAGAGATAGTAGAGATTGAAGTCCCAGAGATTTGATTTTTGCTGCAAGCACACACCACATTGCTTGCTCTGCACAAGAGCCCTGGCAGGATGGTAGGAGGTTGAGTGAACACAGCCTGTCCCAGTGCCCTGTCCACAAGCTCAGAATAGGGTACCACTGATAAGTATGAGACTGGGGTCAGGCTTCCAGGTACAACAGGTTACCATTCAGGGAAATCCTATGGGAACAGGGCT